CAAAAATAATAACAAAAAAGTTGAGTACCACCACATCTGGTAAGAGTCAACTTTTTAAAAATAAGTTGCTGTTCTTTGGTTTCATTCCAAGAAACAGACAAGAAGAATGGATACTGCAGGGATTTACTTCACCAAACCTCAAGAACATCTTTAGTGTGCTATCCCATGAATAAGATGAGATGCCTCATGCCTGTAATCCTAGCAACTGGGAAGGGAAGGTAGAAGCAGTTGCTCAAGGTCCGCCTTGACAACATAGGGAGTTTGAGGCCAGCCTGTACTACATGAGACGCTATTCAAAGGGGGGAGGAGGTTGAAAGGGAGAGAAAGAGGCAGGGAGAGATACTTTATATCTAGTTAGTTCCCCATTGTTAGGAATGTTCAAACCAGGGGGCTGGAGAGATGGCTCAGTGGTTAAGGGCACTGGCTGCTCTTCCAAAGGACCCAGGTTCAATTTCCAGCACCCACATGGCAGCTCACAACTGTCTGTAACTCCAGTTCCAGGGGATCTGACACCTTCACACCAATGCACATAAAATAAAGTTAAATAAATTCAAAAACTTTTTTAAAGTATGTTCACATCAAATATTTAGTTATTTCCCTATTGTTAGAAATGTTCTAACCAATTTGTAAAACCTGCCTAACTGATAAGGGTATCATATATGGAAGTCAATTGCCACAAAGGTAACTGGGTTAGAACCCCAGCATTGAGATGAGAGGAGGCTGAGAGGTCGCCTAGTCCTGACTCCTGTTTTAAGGTCTGAACAAAGTGAATGACCCATGGCAGCAGATCGTTCTGCATAGCAGGCAGCAAAACATGTTGGGTCAATTCAGTGATCTGCTACTAAGAATCCGGTCCCAGACCAGCAGGCACTAGCATCACCTGGCAACCTGTTACAAACTCAGAATGGATTAGGTTTGTATTTTCACCACACCCTATTAAACTAAACACATTCCCATTAAAGTAAAAAACCATTGACACACATTGCCCCTTTACAATGGTGGGTTTCTATTTCTGGAACTTCATTTCCCAAACTGCACCAGATGTTAAGCAGAGGCACGACCAAAAACAAAACAAGCAAAGAAACAAAACCCAGTATCTCCCAGTCTATTTCGGGAATTTCTCCACATATATCCTAGTTGGGAGACTCCTGATAAATACCACGAGCATACTAAAAGTTCTGAGTCTGTAGATGAGAAAACTTGAACCATAAACTTTCAAGCAGATATAAATATAAAGCGCCTTTACAAAATAAAATGTTACGGGGGCTGAAGAGGTGGCTCAGCAGTTAAGAGAATCTACTGCTCTTACAGAAAACCTGAGTTTAGTTACCGGGACCTACAACCAGCTGTAACTCCAGCTGCCCGGGTCGGACATCTCTGGTTCTGGAGGGACCTACACTCATACACCATTTTTTTTAAGGTTATCCTATCTCCTTAAATATAGTGCAGTTCAGGCTTTGGCAACACAGTAGGCTAAGAATGCCATCTCTAGATTTTTAAAGTACACTAGGGTACCAAGCGGCCAACAGGCGCTTGCTGCTCTCCGCGCTGCTGTTCGGTTCTGAAGATGTGCCTCCTTCAAAACAGCAGTTTCGCGTCAGTGTGCTTTACTCGTTGCCCAGCCCACAGTGCAAAGGGTTGTATGAACAAGATGACTTCACAAGGACCATCTTGCCATCCTAGTCGGACCTCAGGACAGGGAGCAGTCCAGTCACACAACAAACCTATTTCCAGACCCCCATGTTTGAACCCCCTAGGATTATTATTATTATTTTTTTTTTGTCTTCGTTTAACACAAACTCCCAACCACGTGTCCACAGGATCCCTGGGTCCGGCACGGGTCGGGGCAAGCAGGGGCCCCTTGTAGAGCCGGAG